AGTACTTTCAAAAATATCGTCTATATAAATAGCTCTGTACTTCTGAAAGCACTTCAATAAAAATAGAAATTTGGCCAATGACCAATTTGGTATGATTTAAGCACCAACTTTCTTTTCCAGTCTTCTGCTCACTACTTCTCTTTATCAACCTTAAGTGTCAGTCATTTACTGAACCCCGGGCTTTACTGTTTTTGCACTTCGATAATATACCAGCCCTCTACCTAGCTGTTCCTTTCTTTGCCTTACTCCCTAATATCAACTCATCAATCCAAATCATGTCCACTCTTCTAGATCCAGTTCATATATCACCTTTAAGAAGTTTTCCTCACTGAGAACAGTTTTGAATCATTCATTTGGATTACAGCTATTTGTACACATCTTGCTTCCTTGAAAGCTTGAAAGCTTTCTCAAGGCAAGTATTAGAGTCAGTCTCCCACTAGAATTCAAGTTCCATCTTGAATATATTCTTCATCACTGTATTCCCAAAACTGACACACAGTAGGCAAGTTACCAGTATATTCTGAGTGAATGAATGAATGGATTTTATAACATAAACTCCCTAAAGGCAGGGATTTGTCTGTTTTATTCATTGAAAAATTAATATTTGAATATTACAGGGTGAATAAGTAATTTTTGGAAGGCTTAGCATTCATTATATACAACAAAAAATCTTCAATTTATATATCTTCACAGAAGTCAAATATATTTATATTGCCTTTCACCCAACTAATTCAGTGGATGAGGTATCATTCTGAAAATAAGACATCCCCCAGACTGCAAAAGTAAAATTTAAAATAATCAAAATAAAATGGGTGTTAGCATTAACAGTAGTTTCATTTTTCTTTCTTGTGCTTTTCTGGGTTCTAGATTTTCTGCAATGAAAATGTATTATTTTTTAATCAGACAAAGTAATCAATACTATTTTTAAAGAATGTAATGGGCAAGATCATTTGCAAACATATGATTGAGGACATTTTGAGAACACTCAAGTCCAGTCCATGTTACATGGAGTTACTACCAGAAAGGAAAACAAGGAAAGGTGAAAATAACTTAAAAAGCAGAAACCTAATCAGTCTGCCTAAAGAGTAACAAGCACTTCTCAGAGGAGAGACTGATGGCACCCACCTTAGGAAAAAAAAGGGTGTTGAAGGGCACGAGTTTACAATGTTTGCTTGGTGCTGTCCTTGGAAGTATGAAGCCCTTGATGTGTACTGAATTCTGTCCCCCAACTAAATTCATAAGCTGAAGCCATAACCCCCTCAGTGTGATGGTGTTTGGACATGGGGAATCTGAGAGGTAATTATACTAGATGAGGTCATGAGGCTAGGGCCTTCATGGTGGGATTAGTGACTTACTAGAGGAGACAACAGAGGCCTTGCATATTCTCCTCCATTCCCATCCCCTCATGACCCCCCTCCTCCCAGCACCCGCTGAGAACCCGACGAGGAGGAGGCTATTAGCCCGCCAGGAAGAGAGCTCTCATCAGAGCCTGATCACTGCTGGCAACTCTCAGCTTTGACGTCCAGCCTCAGAACTATGAGAAGATAAATATTGGTTGTTTAAGCCACTCAGTCTATGGTATTTTGCTGTAGTAGCCTGAGCAGCTCAGATGCGCTAAGTGGACTAAAATCTAAACTGTTATGTGGCAGGTAGTTTTCTGATACTGAAAGAGAATCTCCTCACTGATTCAGTTCATAACCATTTTACTAAATGCCCACCCTGCTCCATGCCCTGTAAAAATTGCTGAGGATTCACAGATGACCAAGATAAGGCTCCCACCCCTCAGGGGTTAATTTAATAGGCAACAAACCCATAAACAAACTGAAAAAAGGACTATGAGTACTCTGCTAGAAGTATGTATATGAAGTATGTATACACCTTTCACTCACCCAGAGGTTAGAGCAATGGTTTCTATCTGTGGTGGGGTGGGGTAAGTTTGATTGGCTTGAGTCAACATTCTGTATCAAGTTAACTCTGAGTTTACCAACCAAGAAAAGAGCTGTGGCTTACTTTGTGGTGACAAAACAAACCTGAGACTTCACAGTGAGTCCTGCAGAGACCAACACCGGACAGAGAACGTGAAAGTGTTAGTCATTCAGTCCTGTCCAACTCTTTGTAACCGCATGGACTGTAGCCTGCCAGGCCCCTCTATCAAATGGGATTCTCCAGGCAAGAGTACTGGAGTGGGTTGCCATTTCCTATTCCAGGGAATGTTCCTGACCCAGGGATGGAACCTGGGTCTCCTGCACTGCAGGCAGATTCTTCACTGAGCCACCACAGACGTCCACTGGACAGAGAGCCACAGAGATTTGGTTGGTGGCTGCTTACCGAGGACAGGTAGGCAAAAAGTCACCACATGCTCTGAAAATGGCATAGGCTATTGGCAGTCACTTTTGGGGATTCTCAACTATTTCTACACTTTGAATTTCCATTTCTAATTCTTTCTTGGGGCCTTGAATATTTACGATAACATTCTTATTTACTTATACTAACTGTATTTTGTATTAGTAAGTATTCAAAGCCTGTTATGTTACATGGAGAAGAGTTACTGATGAACATGGGAACCTGCACTCACTGTAGCACCCTTGGGTCTTCCATGCCTTCTGCTAAGTCCTGATCATCCCCATATCCTAGCTGAGGTCCTACTTTCTCTGTAGGTTGTGCCTAAAGTGCACCTCCCCCCTGATTTATGGGTTACTCCTGCTGTGAGCTCCCTGGCCCCCCTGTACTTTCTGCATCATGGCACTTATCACACTGTTTTGCAATCTCTTGTTTAATGGTCTCTATCCTCAATCAGACTGTCAGATCCTTAAAGATGGTAGGTAACAACATTAGTTTTTATGATGTGCCTGGGTCACCAAAGGCTTTAGTAAGTATTTGTTGGGTGACTCTAGTTTCAGAGCCTGTGAAACTGGAGGACCAGATGGGCATTAAGTTTATGGTGCTACAACCAAGGCGCACGTGGCCAAGGAAGTTCACCTCTCTGAACTTGGGTATAAACTAGTCTGGTCCATGTTGAGAACATAAACACTAAGGGAATACAATCCCATAGAGGAACCAGAGTCAGGATAACATAAAAATGAAAACTCTCTGGCTTCCTATTATGTTAGATTAATAAAAATTAAGCTGGTTTTGAACAGCTTGGAAGTCATGGTGGAAAGGGCTGGAAGAGTAGTCTGATGACAAGCTTATTTCATGACATGTTAGTCTAATAACTAAATGAAGGGTGAATGTACCCTATACTCACTTCTGTCAGAGCACTTATAGCCCTTTTTACAGATTGTTCATATGTTTGTCTCTATTAAGTCCTTAGGTAATCTAAGGACATTATCTAAACATTATTCTAACAACTAGGCAGGAGCTGATCTAGAGTAGAGGAACCTAACAAGTGATACACAAAAGCAGAAATGGTCAGTTGATTAAGTGGGATAAAATGAGACTTTTGCAGATAAGACTTTCTTATCTTCTCTACTGGCAAGTCACAATTCCTGAAATTCCTGCCATGGAAGTCATTCTTTTGGTTAAAGTTACATCTTTAGATAGTCCTTGTTAACCTGCAAGAATATGCTACTAGGTGATGGTAACACCCAACATGATAGTACTTCTGGCTCTCAAATCTGGTCTTTCCATCTCCTGGGAATGTGAATGCTTAGTGAGAAATAGTACTTTTCAGCTGGGTGGGTGTGATCATCACCAACAGAATGTAAGAGGAGAGATGTGTCTGCTGCCACATCACTTCCCTAAAAATAAAAATTGCTTGTCTTGGGCTTCCTTTTTTTTTCTTCTTCCTGAAGACTAGAAAGGGGACTTTTGTCCTAAGCTAGGGCACAGCAGAGTCTCAGGATGGAAGGACCTGGGTCTCTGAATAAACCTCATGAGCAGAGGAACCCTGTCAACTGGTTTTGAGGAAAATGCATTTCTCTATTTAAGTACTTAATTTTTCATTTCTTCATTATAGCAGCTTACCTTACCCTGATTAATATGGCATTCATGAGGCTGACATAGATTTAAAAATTAGCTATCTCTTACCTAGAGAACAGGAAGAGCCTGAAAATGTGGGCCACAAAAAACAAAGGACTGGGTCAGGGCACTGCTTAGGTAGAAGTAAACAGATGAGCTACTGAAATGGGGGGGCTCTGTGAAGCTAACTGGGGGAGAGGATTTAGTCTTTGACACCACCACAGGTGTCAGAGAAAGAACCAATTAAAATACTTTGTGTACTTTTAAAAATTTTGGTGGGAACAATCAGTTATACTACTTCACAGAAAGACAGGTAAGAGAGGTAGAAATGGAGAAGAGGCAGATTAAGAGGGAAGGTAGAAATGGATGAGGGATTGTGTCATGGTATTTAAAAACAAAAAGAAAAAAGGGCCCCAAACAATTCAAGGCATGAGAGGTTAGGTGACCATGAATTATGAAATTGTGATGGTAACACTAAGTCAGAGCAAGCTGTTGGCTAGCAGAACAGGACACTGAAATTAAATTGTGGTAGTACACTAGAGTATCTATGTGTGCTCAATCACTTCAGTCCATGGGACCCCTGGACCATAATTTACCAGGCTCCTCTGTCCATGGGATTTCCCAGGGAAGAATACTGGATTAGGTTGCCATTCCCTCCTCCAGGGGATCTTCCTGACCCAGGGATTGAATCTGTGATTCCTACATCTCCTGTATTGTAGGCAGATTCTTTACCGCTGAGCCACCAGCAAAGCCCAAAGTATACATGTCCCTATACAAACTAAGAGATGATGATGAATAGGTATTTGAAGAAAAAAATTAAGGAAGGGAGCAGGTTAGAGATGTAGAACATTACCACCGTCCCTGTAATAGCTAAAAATGCTGTTAAAAAAAAAGTAGCCACACTCTGGTTCTATTAATTTACACTTAAACACTAAATATGTCAATATCCATCCGGATAAAACTAGCCTCTGCTAGTTGACAAAAGCAAACACCGACAGCAGCCTTCTGAGGGCTGTATTCAGCATTCTCTCTTTTCACCTCTAAACTTGTATAGACGTCTCTCCTTGATCTTCATCTTTATTTTGTTCGGCTTTCTGGAGAAGTCTGGGGCCAAACAAACCAATAAGTAGGCTTCCAACTGGGGCTGTGATGAGGATGGACAAAAATGCCACTGTCAACACATCCATTCCATATCCTTCTAACTGTTTCTCTCCATGTGATCTTGCTGTGTCCAAAGCCACAGATCCTATTGCAGCCTATGAAAGTTTAAAGGTAAAGTTGGAAGCATTATAAGACAAGCACATACAAAAAAGGTGAATTATGTTATCATTTGCAAAAATAAATCTCTTATTCTTTTGCTCAACTATGAAAGTTCTCTTAGTCCTCTTTCAAAATGTACTGCAGTTGATTTTAATGATCTGAAAGCTCTCCCTGCCCTTGCCAAGGGAAAGGATGATTCATCTGTACCTATTTGCATAAGGCAAACTTACAAAAATATCAGGCAGATATATTTCAAAACACCAGGCAAATACAGACTTAGGATATTAATTAACCATAACAAGATTACACTAAATTCCTCCTGAATAAAGATGAAAGTTACTGGTCATCTCATTCTTTCATCTTTAGGAGTTTGGAATTAAGAAAGGATAAGATGAAAAAATGCAGTGATATTAACTGGAAGTTTTAAATGAAAAAACATAAGAATATTGCTTCAGAGCCTAAACTAATTGTTAAATATCAAGAAACTTGAAAGTGGTAGGCACCTTTGAAACTTGAAGTTAATCTTATTAGGAATTTGATGAATTTTTTGCCTTAGGAGTTGGTGAAATGTTTTATTTAAAATTTATCTACTGAAAGGTATTATGAAAAATCTTTTAGAGACAAAATGCAATCTTATCAGTGCACAAGGGAAAATACATTAATCAACCCGGTTATCCCCTTATTTCACAGGACACAACAGTGTTGATCTCCAGGACAACGCAACAGAAGAGAAAATATCAGTGTGGATGAGACACAGTGGCAGAGACTACTAATTGCTGACAATATCTGAGTGCCCCTTTAGCCTTCTATAATAGAAGTGGCTCAGTTTTAGCTGGTCACATTGCTGTTCAAATAAGAGACTTTGTTTTTCAGTCTTCTTTGCAAATAGTTGTAGCTATATATCTAAGTTTTGGCCACTGAGAGGTGAGAGAAAGTGATAAATGCTTCTTTTAATTGTTCCCTGAAAAGAAATGGGCCTTATTATTTCCCCCTTGCCATTGGTTGGAAATGGTGAAAGCTGGACTCGTGGATAAAAGGCACATGCCAAGAACAGCGGTTACCTTGCCAGCTCTGGAATGTTCAGTCTTGACCACTGGTTAGAAAGAAATAAAAAGTCTATCTCATTTAGTCCCTGTGTTTGAGGGCTCTTTGCTATGGTATATCACCTTGTACCAGAATTAATTCAACATTTCATGAATGCTCAGCAAGAACTGCACACATTACAATATACATTTCCTTTTCAGTTCTCTGTTATATGTGTAAATGTGTACGTGTGTGTATGTTTAGGGGGTTTGTATGTATACTAAGATATCATTTAAAATATACTTATGGGTCATGGACAAAAATAGTTTAAAGAACACTAATATGGAAAAAATATATAAGAAAGTCTTGTTTCTTGTGCAGTGGCAAAAGAAGAAAAAGTGAAATTCTATACAATAATTGCTTTGAGAACACGCATTATTCAAGACATCCTAGATAATTTCTCCTTATTTTAAAACTTGTTTTCGTAGCGGCAAAATGCCATCCTTCAAAATTTAACTTTAAAAACAAATCTTCCCTACCAAAGCAACTAGAGTGGTTATTTTTGACATTTTACCTGCTAAAGTTACCAGAGGCAGTGTGGAGGCGGGAGACGCTGTGAAGGAGAAACTACTCTACGTACTGTACTGTATTAACCTCAGAGCATCCTTGCCACTAAGTTTATGTCTTGGACTACTATGAATGTATGATGGAAAGAAAAACTTCTCTGGAATAACGCCCTAACCCTGCAGCCACACAAAATCTGGCATATTGTTCCAGAGCAGCATATACATCTCTCAAGGCTTCCTAAATTAATATCTGATTTTTGTTTCATGAAACAAGAAATTTATACACTTAAATAATCACAAAATAATCAAGGATGAAACAGGTAAGTCTCATTTCTTGTAATTAGTTGGAGAATATACAATACCATCAAGGATATGTTACATTTGCAATAAATGATGATCTGTAAAGTTCTAATTTAATTAGCAATTACAGGTATGCTACCAAATACCTGGCGAATCCTTTTAAGCACCTGTTGGTGAGTGCCTTGTTCATTGGAGTGCACGAATTTTGGGTCATATGATTGTCAGAAGGTTCAGCTGGTTTGAAAATTTTAAATATCAACTAATAATCAAGGAAATAAAGCATTTTCTGAGTTATTTCTCAATAAATCTTTCTCCATTATATATAAAGACTGTAGTCAAACATAACTGATTACCAATCATATAGTCACATACATTTCAATACTAAGATGGGCAATGCTATTTATTGAAATGAAGAGAGTTAATAACTATCTCTGGGTTATTTAGAGAGCTCTGACTGATAAAATTTCAAACTCTTCCTTCCTGCTATGTACTACTACTTTCTAGTAGTATAGGGATTTATTGGATTTTTAGTTGCACTCTGGTGATCTAAAGAAATTTAAATGAGCTGTCATACTTAATGAATCAATATACCAAGAATAAAACTTTTAAAGAGTAAATTAGTATAAAGTCTTTATCATAAATCAAACTTCATATACTTATTTTCACCAAATTTGAACAAGCTCTCTTATTAAAAACTTCAAGATATCATATGGAAATAGGAATTAAAATCCATCATTACCTGGACTGTGGCCTTTGGAAGCCATGCAAAAGAAATAAATAGCTTTTCCTTAATGTTAAAACCAGCAAAACACACCATCAGATATGTGACCGAAATTCGTATTAATACTGCAACGCCCAGGGTGGCAACACAAAGACCTGTAAGAAATACTCAATTTTCAGACATAATGAAATACTGAGGGGAAAAAAAGAACACCTGAATCTCATGGTTACTGATTCAAAATTCTTTCAACAGAAGCCTAAAAACATTCAAAAAATTAAAAAGACAAAATAGTGAGGCATAATTTATTAAAACATCAACATTAAGGATCAATCATTTTTCTCAGTAGGATGTATCACTTTTGATAAAAAGAGCAAAGAGGGAGAAAGATGAGAAGAGGTTAATAATAAAAAATAATTTATAAAACCTTGAAAAAAAAAAAAGAATCATCAGACCGCTTATTTAAAAGAAGGTATTTCCCCTTGATTTTCTAGTAAAATGTGAAAGATTTATTTGACCTGAAGAGAAAGCAGAGTATTCCCCTAAAATAAAAACAGAAATTAAACACATTTAAATTTTTACAAAGGAGATTTGAAGGTTATTTTATGCTTTATAGCAAGAACAACACTTTCTTTCATGTGTTTATTTAAAAAGAATTTATACAATACTAACTATGCATGGCAGGATTTGGACTAGGTACCAGTACACGGAAATGTAAATAGACTCTGCTTCTATGAACATCAAAGACAGAAACATAAACAACTAATTAATATACTATAAGGCAAATACAGTTTAAACATACTGGTAAGAGGGCATAGGAGAAGAAAACATTAATATTTTTAACAAAGTGGTTGAGAATTCTTTACAGAGTATGAAGAGGTGATATTCAAAATATTTATGAGCCATTATGGATACAATGAGCCAATCAGAACAGAGCTGGATGGGCACTGACCAATCAGAACAGACATCAGCAGTCTACATCTGGTTCATCAAACTGGTGTGTATACTGACTGCCTATTAGCCCTGATTGTCATATACAGCTACTTCATTCAATCAGCATTTAGAATTCTTTGCTGGTAAAGTTAAGTTCATCCTGATGTGCAAAATAAGGGATTGTGACTTGGCCACTGCAGGCTACTGGACCTGAGAAAGACACAGCTAAAGTGACTGCTAACTAACAGGGTAATATTTTAAAAAGTAACATTGGTTGAGTATTTAGTCTGTGCCAGGTTCCATAGTCAGCTTTAAGTGCACTACTTTACTAAATCCTTTCAACCTGTGGGGTAATTAGTCTCATTTTACAGTTGAAAACAATGAAGTTCAAAAAGGAACAGAAAACTGAGAACAATTTTTTCAAGTTGAAAAGGCTTGTAAAAGGGAAAGACATTGCAGGAAGCTCTAATGTAAATCTGCAATAAAGTTGTTTTTGTGTTTTTTTTAAACAAAAGTTTTGTAGCTTTTTGTTGGAGGATATTCTCTCAGGTTTGTATATTTTCAAAGGTATTTGTTGTTGAAGTACAAGATACAAAAGCAATAATACCATTCCCAGGAGGGAACATTGAAGGTTTGGGGAGAAGATGATGAGGAAGATTGAGACATATTGAGTTTAAAGTTTTGTGGGGCTTACAAGTGGTGATGTCCAATCGACCACTGGATATACAAAATTTAGAGATAAAGATTTTGGAATTATATAGTTTATAATCAAAGTCACTGAGTGCAGATGAGCTCGGGAAAGTGATAAAGAGTGAGACGCACAGGAGCGCATTTAAGCCATATATATACTACAAAGACTCAAAGGGCACTAGAAAACACAAAGTTTGAAACTTCAATGTGAAAGTGTTTTAAAGAGGTTAATAGCATCAAATGCTGATATGAGATCAAGTAAAATAAAGATTCATAAGTATTCAGTGGATTTAATAACATAACCTTGGTAAGAGCAGTGTTGGCTGTGTGTTAGGGCAGAAGCTAAACTTAAATGCACTGAGGAAGAGAAAGAGAACTGAAATGGAAAAGTGGAATATAGGGACCCTTTTGGAAAAGTCTGAAAAGAGGAAGAGAGAGAATGGTAGGTGAGGAGAGCAATGAAGGGACAAAGGATGTATACACACACACACACATATATATATGTACACATATCCTTTATAAATATGTGTGTGTACTTATTTAAATTTTGATTGTGATAAAATATACTTAACAAAAATCACCATCTTAATCATTTAAAAACTTACAGTTCAGTAAGCATCAAGTTAAACATTCATGTTTTTGTGCAACAAATATCCAGAATGTTTTCATCTTGTAAAACTGAAACTCTGTACCCATTAGACAACAAATTCCCATCTCCCCATATCCAAGATCCCTGGCATCATTCTATTCTACATTTCTATGAATTTGACTCAAATCATACAGTATTTGTCGTTTTATGATTGGCTTATTTTATTTAGTGTAATGTCCTCTAGATTCATCCATGCTATAGCATGAATCAGAACGGGATGATGTTATTTAAAGATAAGAGAGATTAAAGTCCATTTAACTTCTGAAGAAGAGGAAACTATGACAAGGCTACTTGAAGATGCATGAAAAAAAGCGAAGAATCTATGCATGAGATTCAGAAAGAGGTGGCAGGGAACAGGAGCCCCTGTATGGATGGAAAAACAATGTGATGCAAAGAAAGGAGGAAATAATGAGTATATGTATGTAAATTAATTTTTAAATGAAGTGCTATGAATTAAGAGAGTTTTAACATGATGGCTAGCAAATGTGTGGGCTTCTCTCGTAGTTCAGTTGGTAAAGAATCTGTCTGCAATGCAGGAAACTCAGGTTCGATTCCTGGGTAGGGAAGATACCCTGGAGAAGGAAATGGCAACCCACTCTAGTATTCTTGCATGGAAAACACCACAGACAGAGGATCCTGGCAGGCTATAGTCCATGGGGTCACAAGAGTTGGACACGACTGAGTGACTAAACCACCACAGCAAATGTGTGAATGAATAAAAGAATGAATGAACAAACATTTCTATTCTATGGGTACATATTATTACATATTATAGGACTCGCTAGTTATCTTTAAGATTCTGGCTCTCGATCAGCACAACGCTACATGACCATTTTTACCCTTGGGAAAACAGACCTGCATTTTATTGATGGTAGTCAGCAGTGTCATTTTTCTTTACAAGGAACAATATTAAAGGTGTAAAATTTACTGTCTTAGATTGACAAACATTATTTTCTAACCAACTACTCTGATAATATGAATCAGTGAACACATACCTACTAAAGATATTTCAACTGAATATAAATAGAAAGAGTTGATTTTAGCAAAAGTAGTACTTTGAAATTCTCACCTACAGTTTCTGGTCCGAGAGCTGTAATTGATACCTCTGCTCCAATCAGTCCAAAGAGAAGGGGCTGAAAGATGTCCCAGGCAACTGCTGTAACTTTTTCAACATCTGTCTAAAACACACACACACACACACACACACACACACACGGATTTTCATTATATGAATTCAGAAGTTCTAAGAATTTTGCTAATTTGAAATTTGACTCAATTTTACCTGCAACAGCCTTTACCTCTGTATTATCTATAAATGAGTTAGTTCAAAGGCAACAAAAAATTTCACAAAGATGGTTCTAACACAATTAAGATATTATGTGAGATGTTTTAGTGTTGATTTATACATAAGAGCTAATTATAGAATCTTACAAAATAATCTTAGGACTTCTGCTTCTGAATACACAATCTGTGTATGTGCATATATTATAATGAGTATTATATTAATTATATTCTTATTTCATTTAATAGTTTAAAGTTTTGTTAATTTTCATTTAACAATATGATTTAAAGGCCTAATATTAGTGCATACATCTAGATACTCACCTCATAATTGCTGCATAGTAATCTTTGGCATGGAAGTACCATAGTTTATTCAATAATTTCTTTATTTATAGGTCTTTGTTTCCAATTTTACCTTTATAAAAAAATGTTGTTTATGGTTATCTCAAATTATGCACAAAAGCACAATCCAGGTATAACAAAGTGCTGTGCCAGTTATTAATTTATTGCTACTTGGCTCCTAATCTGCCTTTCCTTGTTGCTCTGCAGAAAATGGAGCTGGCCCTTTAAATAGTTCTCCTTTGCCAGCTGGTACCATATTAAATATTGTCAGGAGAGATGCTGAAAGCTATTAAAAGAGAAGGTGCCCTTCTTGGTTTCTGTGGCTCCTCCTAGCAAGATCTTCCAGTACCAGGCTCCTACAGTGCATGGGGCCGGCAGCTTCCCCCAGGCTACTTCCAGGGTGGTTTCATCGCCACCTCCCATGGGCAACATACCTTTCCATGTACCCTGACAGGTGGATTTCCTTTGAGTTCGGAGAGTAGATTTCTAGTAAATTTTGTAGGCAGGGTGCCATGGTGATTTCTCTGTCACCCAGTGACCAAGGCTCTGACAAGATGTGGATTCTCAGCACTGAGGTTGGGAGTAGTGAGGTGAGAGAGGGAGGCAGAAGCGTATGTTTTATTTCCATCCTAGAAGTTTATAGCTGCTATTCCCTGATGGCTCACCAGTAAAGAGTTCCCCTTCAATGCACGAGACACAGGGACGTGGGTTCAATCCCTGGGTTGGAAAGATCCCTTGGAGAAGGAAAAGGCAACCCACTCCACTATTCTTGCCTGGGAAATCCCATGGACAGAGGAGCCTGGTGGGCTACAGTGCCTGGGGTCGCGAAGAGTCAGATACAACTGAATATATAAGAACAGCACACATTCCTGTATTTTTTAGGGGTCTCTCTACATCTTACAAGCCAACCCCTTGTTAACTGATCCCTGGGATGGTTAATAATAAACTTCCCTATTCCAGTTACTATATGATTTCTTTCTCCTTACAAAATCCTGGTTGATATGTTTTTTAAACCTTAATTCAAACATCCTAGGGAAAGACTCACACAATTGACCATGTAAAACTAAAGTGTCTGTGGCAAAGTAAACCATAGAAAAGGTAGTGATAAACCAAGAGAAAATAACTGTACTATGTGTAATAGATAAGGAAAAATACCCAATCACTAAGAAAAAGATAGAGACCCTAGTAGAAAAATGGGCAATACAAATACACAAGTAGTCATACAAGAAACACAAATGGCCTCAAAGCATGACACTGAAACTCAGTAATCAGAGAAACACAAGTTGAAACAATATACCATATTTTGGGGGAAAGCATAACCACATTGTAAAAAAACTACAATGTAAAATATTTGTAAGATTGTAAGCACACTCAGACTAATTGGTAGGAGAGGAAACTGACAATGGTTTTTTTTGGAAGGCAATCTAGCAGTGCCCATTACAGTACCTAAGAATTTATGTCTAACAGACTTTTTTCAATCAACATTATGAATCTATATTTTTGTTCCACAGTTTTACCCTTAAAATTACATGTTTTTAAGGATTTGCCCTTCCATATCTGTATGGAACTCTGACAGAGGATTACATTGCTTCTCTATTTTCTTCATTATTATTTCTGATATGTTTATTAGGGTGAAGATTCTATTTTCTCTTAACTTATCAATGTTGAAAGACAGCATATGTGATGGGGTCAGTTGATTTATGTATACAATTCTATTCCTATATCATGAAAAAAAAGTTATGCTTCGATATCATAAGGAATCAGATGATGATTTAGGTTCAAATTCTGCCACCCATTAACTGCAAGTCACTTGCCCTTAGCACCTCACTTTTCTCATCTGTCAAGTAGAGGTTTATATTAAAAGACATCCAATAAAATAAAATAAAAGACATCCAAGATCCTTTATCATTTAATGACAATTTCTAGTTCTGCCAAAAACTGTCCAGTTGCCAACATTCCACATATCTTTAAATTTTACTTTTGAATTTAATTCTTTTTTTAAATTTATTGAATTTAATTCTTAGAGTATATCATAGCTAAAGCTCAGACTTTAGTTGATAATTAGTTGTAAAGAACAAAATTTAACTCTATTAATCTTAGTCTTACTTAGGCTTTTGTTGACAGGACTAAATTGCTTAAGGAAAGTCCTCAAAAATATTTCAATATTTTATATATTCAGAACTCCAATGAGAGCAGAAGTCCTAAAGAGTTTTCCCTATCAAATTACCTTTATTTCTAAACTGTAGGCAAAGGCCATGCTTTGCTTTTTGATTTTAACACTTTAGAACTAATTGGATATGGGCTTTATCAGATATGGGCTTATATATTATGAAATTTAAAAAAGGGAGAAGAGTCACAATGTAGCTTTTTTGTGTGGCTTTTTCATAATTTCAAAACCAAAATAAATTTATTTACAAAAGAGAATCAAGCCATAGAAATAAAATACCTATAAAAGAAGATGAGCTAGGGAATTCCCTGGTGGTTCAGTGACTGAGACTATGAACTTTCCTTGCCAAGAGCACTGGTTCAATCCCTGGTTGGGGAACTAAGATCCCACAAGCTGCATAGTGCAGTTAAAAAAAAAAAAAGAAGATGAGCCAAAAGGAAAGAAGATTGTGTTGTTCATTAAAAGCTAAGGCCACTTTATACATCTCTATGTACCAATGGTAAGAATCTTCAAAAATATAAATCACTTTCAAGGATGGACAAAAAGGAGAAAGTTAAGAGAAATGAAAGTTTCATCACGGGTTAAATGTCTATTTAAGCGGATATTTCTCTTAGAAGAACAATTCAATATTCAGAACATCCAAAATAAAACAGAAAACAACCCCCCATAACTATAAAGGTCATCTAGAAGCACTGAATTTGAAAATAAATGAAAAAAATAGATGACAGAGGCTTTAAAAAGGTGAGTGCACTTGAATAAAATACAATAGATGGCAAGATGAATGATTAAATGGAAAACCAAGAGGAAAGTTAAGAAATAACATCAGAAACTACAGGCACAAATGAATTTTATAAAATGCTTTAGATTTTCAAAGTTTAACTCAACTACATTATTGCTATAGTGCTATTGAGTTTACAAATGCTTCATTTCCATTTCCCCATAAAATAGCCACAATTCTTTAGATGTTGTTATTAGTTTCTTCATATTACAGTTGGGAAAATCGAGTATTAGAGAATATAGGTGAACTTTGGAGGATTATGCAGCTCAAGAGTCACAGAACCAGGATTGGAAGCCAGGTCTCTGCAAACTACATTTTATGTTCCTTTTATAATGCTGTGCTGCTCTGGAGAGTGCCTGCCACATAACTGATTCAGTGAAGATTTGTTTTCCTTTATTCAGGGAAATAGTTTGGCGTATTCAAATGGTGTGTTCTCATCCTCGCTCTGCCACTTACGGGCTTTGTGAAGTTAGGCACTGTATCCAGTATTTCTAAGCCTTGGTGTCCTCATTTGTAAAATGGTCCAATGTCTACTTTTCGAGGTTATAGTAGACAGAATAAATGTATGTAAAACTTCACTTGGAAAGAAATCTTTAAGAAAAAAAAAAAACTTTGAAGGAAAGGTCCTAGTAAGAGATTCATAGATCTGATCACATGAAAGTATATCTTTGTGTTAAAAAATGAATGATATAAAAAGGCACAAAAAGCTAACTTCATATATATAGATGTGTGTATATGTGTATATATATCTTATAGGTCAATAATCAATGCATTAAACTTTAGAAGATAATGCATAAAAGACCTAGCAAAGAAAAATAAAAAATACAAGGGGCAAAGTATATGAAAAAATATGCTTTTGAACTGTGATGTTGGAGAAGACTCTTGAGAGTCCCTTGGACCACAAGGAGATCAAACCAGTCAATCCTAAAAAGGAAACCAATCCTGAATATTAATTGGAAGGACTGATGCTGAAGCTCCAATACTTTGGCACCTGATGCAAAGAGCTGACTTATTAGAAAAGACCATGATGCTGGGAAAGATTGAAGGCAGGAGAAGGGGATGACAGAAGACGAGATGGTTGGATGGTATAACTGATTCAACGGACATGAATTTAAGCAAGCTCCAGGAGTTGGTGAAGGACAGGGAAGCCTGGCATGCTGCAGTCCACGCAGTTGCAAAGAGTCGGACATGACTGAGTGGCTGAACAATAACAATTAATCAAAGAAACATAAAATAAAACAAGATACCACTTATTACCCCTTAGCATGGCTAAAGGTTAAAAACAATAATCTTCTAAGCCAGTGGCTCATAAAATGTGGGGCTTCCCTAGTAACTCAGTTGGCAAAGAATCTGCCTGCAATACAGGAGACCTCTGTTCCATTCCTGGGTTGGGAAGATCTGATGGAGAAGGGACGGGCTACCCACTCCAGTATTCTTGTGGCTTCCCTTGTGGCTCAACTGGTAAAGAATCCACCCGCAATGCGGGAGACCTGGGTTTGATCCCTGGGTTGGAAAGATCCCCTGGAGAAGGGAAAGGCCTCCCACTCCAGTATTCTGGCCTAGAGAATTCCATGGACTGTATAGTCCATGGGGTTGCAAAGAGTTGGACACTACTGAGTGAAATGTGGTCCTATTTGTGGTCACATTCACAAAATGTGGTCCCAGATTAGCACCATCAGTATCACTTGGAGACTTATTAGAAGTCAAATTCTAAAGCCTCACTGTAACTAACTCAAAGATTTGGGGGCTGGGGCCCAGAAATCTAACCCAGGAAGACTTCCAGGTGATTCTGATGCATGCTTAAGTCTGTGAAACTATTATAAGCTGATGAGGGTGTAATGATAAAGTTGCCTCATATATTAGCAGTGGAAGAGTAAGCATACTCTTTTTACCATACTCTGGAAAACTTTTTGGTAATGTGTGCCAAAAACCTCAACACGTTCATGTTATATGACCCCCAAATTTTACTGTTAGGAATCTGCCCTAAGGAAATGATCAGAAACAGAATTCTAGCATAATTAAAAATAGCAGAGATGGGAAATAACCTAAATATTTAACTGTAAGGAAATGGTTTCAGAAAAATTATGGGGCATCTCTACGTGTGTGTGTATGAGTGAGTATGTCGATTGTGGTTTGTGTGTGTGTGTATAAAGGGATGGATATATATAGGAGAGTAAACAGAGATATATTTGAAAAACAAGGTACCTAGTTCTTTTGCTGGGTTGTGGATTAACTTGACTTTATGTAAGCCTGGTGACTGCACCAGGCTGCAGGCAATTCAGGCAAAGTTATGACACATGCACTCAAACAGATGCGCCGTTTTGGTTTATAACAATCTTTTCTATATAACCCACGTTATATTTTGGAAAATAGTGTAACTGACACTCAGCAAAATCTGCCTTTCCCTCTTGATCTTCTGTGCCCATAGCTAGTGGTCACTTAGAGTAGGGATCGGTGTTCCCCTTGATTTCCCTGCTGCTAAAACTATTGCTCTATTCCAAATGATGTGGCTCTTTGTTTTTCAAAATCCTATTACTTATGAAGTGAGAGATTTAATTTTAAATTACAAAGTTTAGAAGTATGCTTTTAATATATTTGATATGTGTCTCCATTTGACTCAAACAGGTGTCAAAATATAAAAATGTGCCCTGTGCAATGATGCTGTAGTTGTATAATCAGGGTAGTACAAGTGTTCTGGAGTCAAACCTGACCTTAAATACCAGTGCCACTTTTCAATTTTGTGACCTTGACATTTTTTTTTAAGTTCTTCTGATTTACAATATCTATAAAATTGAAATGATAATACTTTTTCAGTTTCTTTTGTGAAAATAAGTGACAGTAACAGTCATTAGGCCCTTTCCCTCTTTTTACCAATGACAGTTTAATATAATGAGTTGGTTTGAAAAATTTTGAAGAGGTGACAATAGAAAGCATTTTCCTGTAAAATTCAATGTGAAGAAACTTACTATAAGCATACTTGAAAATCTTCCTATTGAATAAAGGTAAGGAAATAAGCTAAAATATTTCAGTAGTTTACAGCACTGTTGGCTTTAGGTAGGAAACTGTAAACGATTTTTTTTCCTCCTTTGCTTTCTGAGTTTAATGTGTTATTTCCCAAAATGAACACTTTCACACTCAGAAATAAAATTAATATTATTTTATATATAAGCATTATAATAAAATTAAATTATATATTTAAAATATTAAATTTTAATATTGAAAAAGTTTTGTAATTTAGTATGAAATAGTAGTTTCATACTCAGAAATAAAATTATTCTCTTTACTAATTTCTTTTTTAACACTAAGTAAAGGTTACCATTAGGAAGTTAAGGTGATGTCTGACAGAAAACAACAAAATTCTGTAAAGCAATTATGCTTAAGTTAAAAAATAAATAAATTAAAAATAAAAAAAGAAGTTAAGGGACAGAGTCCAGTCTCAGTCACTATTTGGCTGCAACTCACAAGCAACTCCAAGTAAGAATGACCCAGCTGAACCTGTGGTGTTGGAGAAGACTCTTAAGAGTCCCTTGGACTGCAAGGAGATCCAAGCAGTGCATCCTAAAGGAAATTGGTCCTGAATATTCATTGGAAGGACGGATGCTGAAGCTGAAACTCCATTACTTGGCCACCTAATATGAAGAACTGACTCACTGGAAAAGACCCTGATGCTGGGAAAGATTGAAAGCGGGAGAAGGGGACGACAGAGGATGAGATGGTTGGATGGCATCACTGACTCAATGAACATGAGTCTGAGCAAGCTCTGAGAGTTGGTGATGGACAGGGAAGCCTGGAGTACTGTAGTCCATGGGGTTGCAAAGAGTCAGACACGACTGAGCGACTGAACTGAACTGACATATATCTAATTTCTTCATTAAACTGAATAGCATATGATCCTGTCAAGGTTAAATCTACAAAACAAAAATGTATCTTAAAATAAATAAATGGCAATCATCTAATTTCCATAATACATATTAATAAGATGAATAACTGTATACTTATGGCTGGAGTTTATGGTGGCTCAGGTGGTAAAGCATCTGCCTGCAATGCAGGAGACCTGGGTTAGATCCCTGGGTCGGGAAGATCCCCTGGAGAAGGGGATGGCACTCAAATATTCTTGCCTGGAGAATCGCATGGACAGAGGAACCTAGTGGGCTACAATCCATGGGGTTGCAGAGAGTCAGACATGACTGAGTGACTGACACTTTCACTTTCATTCTCATCACTGATTCACCTTGTTGTGCAGCAGAAACTAATATACCACTGTAAAGCGATTATCCTCCAATTTGTAAAAAAAAGTTCTATCAAAGGACTAAAAAAAGAAAACAAAGAATGATCTTGAAAATGGGGAAAAAAACCAAAGTAACCTTTTTTTTTAACCTTTTGCTTGTGCTGCACAGTATGTGGGATCTAGTGTCCTGACCGGGGATTGAACCATCACCCCCTACACTGGCACTGTGGAGTTTTAACCACTGGACCACGAGGGAAGTTCCCCAAACCATGTTAAAAAAACAGGCATAAGCTTTTGAATACACTGGCTAGTGAATATATGAAAAGATGATTAGTTTCACTCATAAAGAAATACAATTGGATCAGCAATGAGGTACATTTCTCACCCATTATATTAGCACAGTATCTGATGACTGAAAACAGATCAGAGAAGTAGATTCTCTCATATGCTATTGGTGAGAATGTACATTGGTACAGTCTTTTATTTTTTTCTATTTTTTATTTTTGGTACAGTCTTTTAAAGGGGCAAATTGATATTATCAAAGTATCAATGTGCAGTCTTTCAAAGAGCAATCCTATTTCTAGAAACCTATCCTATAAACCCAATAATATGCTATAATTTGTTAAATTTCTTCTCAATGAATATTTAAGACGTTAGGATGTTACATCATAGTTTAATTGGAAGCATTCTTTTTCTTGATAGAAGCAATAAGACTGGATAGTGTCCCAGTGTTTATGAAATATAGTATATGGAAGGGCATTTTATTGAAGCAATTTTTTTGCCTTAGAAAATTAGAAATGATCTAATGTCCCTTAGAGGGAGAGCAAATAAATAGAGTTTAGCACAACTATCCCTTAGAGAAGGAAATGGCAACTCACTCCAGTATTCTTGTCTGGGAAATCCCAGGACAGAGGAGCTTGGAGGGCTAGAGTCCATGAGGTTGCAATGAGTTGGACACGACTTAGCAACTAATACCACTGCTAGCACAACTATATAATGTAATACTCGGCAGCACTTACATAGGATAAGGAAGGCAGCATGGAAATAGGACCAAGATATGTTTTAAGTAAGTATACGTGTTTTAAGTAAAGACATTAAGTTACAGTTTTGTATGTAAAGAGAAAAGTATGTGCATGTGTGAACTTAGGTACACGTTTACAAATGCATAGAAACTAGCTTTTATGGCTAAGCAATTTCATTAATTTGATGGTAAGAACATATCTGGAAAGAAAAAATTAATTTGATCAGAAAGTAATTGTGAGTAGAAGAACTTAAAGATGAATTCACCTTTGTGCTGGCCCATCCTCTACCCGCAAGGAAAGCTGTGACCAGCGTGCACAGTCCTCCTGACCCAGGGAAACCAAAATACGTGCTGCTGAACACAGCCAGCACAGACAGCCCCAAGACCAGGAATGCTCTCTTCCACACAAGTTTGTCCTAGAGGAGGAAAAAGGGTGGTTAGCTCAGTTATTTCATGCAACTGATTTCTAATTATTGATTTTTCCATGTTCAGGACAGTAGAAAATATATATGTCTGTGTCTAAGCACATAAGTGTGTGACATACTATTTACTTCCTTTTCCTTAGTAAAAGTAGAGTTAGCACATGTATAAATGTAGGTTCCTCTCCCAGGAATACCAGCTATCCTTCTCTGCAGCTTTCAAAGCAGAACTTCTCAGGGCTAAATGCAACAGCAGAAAAAAGCACATGGGCTTTGGGGACAGAGAGTCCAGCGTTAAAATTTTAGCTCTGGCACCACTGGTGTGTGTGGCTGGCCACATTACTTAAACTCTCCAAGATTTTCTTCCTCTTTCCCAAAACAAATCCCAAATCACAGGGATTCTGTGAAGGCTAAAGATATGCCATCTTTATGATTTTTAGGCTCTCTGTTCACTCTTTAATTTGATGCTCTCTTGGTTTTTATTTCTAAATCTTTGAATATCAAGGAGTTTAAGAGACTGTAAAGTGACAGTAGTTTTTTGTTGTTGATTTTTAAAGTCTTAGAAATGTGGACCCCTTCCCTTTCACTTTTCCCTGTTCGGCCTTTTACACTTCTTGATCACTTTAGAAGGCAGGCAGGCTTCTAGAAGTGCTTGACTTGAAGGCATGCAGGCTCTGGTGGTGGGTCACCTGGTTCTTTCCCAGCTACATTGCTTTCTAGCTGTGTGACCTTGCTTAAGTCCCTCATCTTGAAGCCTCAATTTCCTCATCAGTAAAATGGTCATATTAATCAGTACTCGTTACACGAGTTATTGTATGGAGTGCCCTAGATCAGCACTTCACAACAGAACATTCAGTGATGATGGAAATTTCTGTATCTGCATTGTCTGCAGTAGTGTTCTTTTTTCTTTTTTTAAACTATATTACTGGAGTATAATTGCTTTACAATGTTGGGTTAGCTTCTTCTGTACAAGAAAGTGAATCAGCTGTATGTATACATATATCCCCACCCTGTTTTATATCTGTGGTGGGTATGTATAGCTAGTGGCTGCTATATCGAATAAGTGGCACTTTATTATTATACATACCACATCACTTTATACACAGTAAGTAAGCTGTTATTTTCACTTTATTTTATTATTTAATTAGAAAGTCCTACAATTTTCCTTTATCCATTCATAAAATCTTTTATAGACAGTTTCAAATGGAGTATTTTGGAGCACAGTAAAAATTCAAACCAACATACATTCTACTAATGATAGTTTTAGTGTTCTTCTTAAAGTTCTAGTTTAGGGAAGTTTCTAATTCTATTCAAAATACTCTGAAATCTCAAACTAATGCCAGTTCTTGTGGGGAAAAAAGGCTTTTCATCTTTATTTGTTCCAAGAGACTTAGGAGAGTAAAGGAAACAAAATCTTTGCTACTAATAAGAAATCATGGTGTATAGTAAGGAACTTTGATATCTTTGGTGAGAAATATTGGACTATATTATGATGAGAGGTCTATTTGATAGTATTAGAATCTAAGGTATTTTGATATTAAAAAAGAGGCCCCCAAAGCCATTTCATATCTTAGTTTAGCTAAGTATCATGAATAATAATAAACTTAAGATTCCATAATAAAATTAAAATACAAAGATAGGTATCATAGTATTTTAGAACTGATGTTCTTTGTTTTGCAGTAGAATTTGAGGCATACAGAATATAAGTTGGAGAAAAAAATTCCAGGACTATCTTACAAACCTTACACATCTAACCCTCTTCATAAGCCTCACGGACAGCACTGATACCACAGTGAGCAGAGTTAAAATAGTGAACCATTTTCTAAATCACATACTTGACATCAGCTTTCAGGAGAGTGTTCTAGAATGCTTCTCTAATGACATTTTACAGCACAACGTGCTCACAGATTATGTCTTACCTGGTCACTGCTTGGAAAATACTGAATAAAAAATCCAAGAACCACCCCAGTCACCACGCCAATGATCACCTCCAAAACGCCTTTGAGAACATTAAAAACTGTGGAGCCTTAAAAACACATAAAAAGAAAAACTTCATCCAGAATTCTAAATCAATAAACACACAGAATTTAATCATTAACATAAAGCATATAATTACATACAAGGAAAAATTTACAGATATTTCCTGCTCTCTACATTCTTCAAGTGTCTAATTAAATGGGCCTATACTAAGGAAAGTATGCATATTACTGGAGATAAATTTTAAAACAGGCATAAGCTATGAGTTGTGCACCTCTGTCTATGCTTACTTCAGTATAAATTTATTATTTACTAAGAAAATATGAAAGATAAAATTCATGAATCAGAGCTAATTTGTTCTATTGTATTATATGCATAGGCTGTGAGTAGACAGATCTAGTATTTAAACTTCCATTTAAGAGCTTGATATTTTAATAATAAACACATTGATTTTAGTAGCTCTAATATGTATAGAATATAGTAACTTATAAAAATTGTTAGTCATGTCTGACTCTTTGCGACCCCATGGATTGTAGGCTGCCAGGCTCCTCTATCTGTGGGATTTTCCAGGCAAAAATGCTGAAGTGGGTTGCCATTTCCTTCTCCAGGGGATCTTCCCTGGCCTAGCGATCTAACTGGGGTTTCCTACATTGCAGGCAGACTCTACCATATGAGCCACCAGGGAAGGCCCCATGGTAACGTAAAAATCTGGCAATTAAAGTAAAACATCTTTTCTTACTACAATGAGTGGAAGGGACTTACCCCTTCTCAAATATTATTTCTAAGAGTAAGTCTGAAAATAAATTATTTTTGAAATTGCTTTTGGAAGAGCCTTTGTTGCTTAGGCTCTTTGAAATAACATAATATAGAGGTAAGTAAACTATATTTTCCCCCATAGCAAACAGGGTTTAGGAAACTTTAAAAAAATCTTTGCTAGCACATTGTGCAGAAAATTATACTAAAACTGCTCAACATATAAAGCCCTTCTCACATACTGTCCTAAGGAAATGTGTACCAACTAGTTATGTGGTTTCTTGTTATTATAGTTTCAGGTACAGAATATGCCACCCCAAAGTATGCCACTTTGGCATAAGGATTATTTTGAGCTGAAGGCAACTGGGAATAAACAGTTACAAGATAAGTTCTCTGCCTTCTCTCTATTTGCTTTCAAAAGCAGGACATGAATGTGTAAAGCTGGGCCTCTCGCCTCTCTATCAGGAAGGACAGAAGTTAACCACCAGGGCAACTGGGAACCCTAATCAGCCCAGGGACAGCACCAGAGGAATCTGCATAACAAACTGCTAAATCAGCCCTTATCTAACCATAGTTTGCTCATGTATTTGCCTTTTCACAATTTGTTGCCTCTAAAAGCTCAAAGTCCTTTCCCTTTATCTTCATTTCTCTACAAAATTATTGTTGTTTGCTAAGATGCTGTAGAAACCCCAATTCTAACCATCCCAAGTTACTCAGCACCATCTACTCCTATGTGTAAGCATGATGCACAGGCTAATAAACTGAGTTTCTCTTGTTAATCTGTCTTTGGTCAGTCTGATTTACTGGGTCCCAGTCAATGAACCTAAGATCAGTAGAGGAAAAACATTTTTTCCTCCTCTACAGTTTCAATCATCTCTTATAAAAATAAAAAAGAGAGAGAGAGAGAGAATTCCTTGGTGGTACAGTGGTTAAAATTCTGCACTTTCTTTGCTGAGGGCCTGAGTTGAATACCTGGTCCAGGAACTAAGATTCCCATAAGTCACATGGTGCAGCCAAAAAAACAAAACAAAACAACTTAACCTCTGTAGTGATTTTTGTTTAGCTAGGACAGCTCTCTGTTAGGTAATGGTGTGACTGTCAAAGCATCTAGTTGGGATAGTAGCCCAAGTCTTGAGCTAATATGATAAATAATTTACTATGTATTTTTAATTTCCTATAAATGTGTATCAAGGAGCCAATTAGTTTCAGTCTCTGATATAGTGTGTGCATGCATGCTAAGTCATTTCAGTCATGTCTGACTCTTTGTGACGCTATGGACTGGAGCCTGCCAGGCTCCTCTGTCCATGGGATTCTTCAAGCAACAGTACTGGAATGGGTTGCCATGCCCTCCTCCAGGCTCTGATAAAGTAAGGTTGTTTAAAAAAAAGACTTCTTATGTCCTGCCTCTAGTAATTCTGACTTAGTAAATCTGACAAGGCTTAGGATCCACGTTGGAAAGAGACTGCAGGCAGTTTCCATTCAAAAGGCCTAAGGACCACATTTAGTGCGGCGGGGCGGAGGGAACACAGCATTGCTGACTGTGAAGGTTCTTCAGGCTGTCCACAGCCACCAGCCCTGCAGACCCTCCTCATTGCTCTCCCTGCCTACTCTTTCCCATCCCCTGTGATTCTAATGCAAACTCTAAAGCCATGGTTTCCATTCCCAGAGGTTCTGATTTAATTGGCCTAAAGGTGGTACCTAACATGAGTATCTTAAAAAACTCCCCAGGTAATACTAGTGTGCAGCTGAGGCTGACAACCATTATTTTAAAGGTGTATATATCAGGAAAACAGTGAGAACATACTTCTGGATAGGTACAGCAGAATTAAAAGAGACAAAATGTAGATCTGACTTAATAGGTAAGGGGGAATCCTTGCTGTGTATATATATATATATTTTTGGCTGCACCACATAGCATGTGGGATTTTAGTTCCCCAACTAGAGATTGAACCCATACCTCCTGCATTGGAAGGGTGAAGTCTTAACCACTGGACCACCAGGGAAGTCCCCCTCATTGATTCTTGACTGGGAAGGTAACCTTATGAAAGCCATGTTTTGACAAGATCAATTTTCCCATGGCATACGGCAGGGAGTGTATATACTTGACAACTTTGGGGCAACAGGAAGAGATGAAGTTCTAGTTAATCGGCAGAAATAATATGTAACCAACGAAAAAAAAGGGGACAATAACTACAGCAGGGTGGAGAGCCTGAAAATCCATGACCTTCTGAGAAGGTGTGTTCCTGTGAGATAATCTGAAGATAATTACAACTAAGCTACAACTACATTTTGCCAATAGTATGAAACCACAAATCTTATCTCCCAAACTTGGACATGGATTAAAAAATGAACTTAAATTTATGCTGCACCAAAGGAGAGTGAGTGTTAAATAATACTGGGGGAGAAAAAAAATGCCTTCTTTTTTTATTACTACTTAAAATATAATATGTCCATATCAATATCAAACACTGAGTAAGTATTAAAAAGATACCCATTAAAATCATTTGCTGCTATTACCCATAAAATGTTAAAACTTTTCCTATTTTAGAAGAGTGCTGTTTCTCCCACTTGGCCTGCTCTCTGCCATTGTGCTCACTGAAAATCTCCTCATCCCTTGTGTGAGGTCTCCAAGACCTAACTTTCCCAGAGACTCCATGCAAAAGCTGTTCTAATCCTCTTTTAAACTCTGAAAATTTGAATCTCCCCTTACTGAACTTACCAGATTGCTTGAGCAGTTTCTGTCTAGATGGTGAAGACAGTAAAGACAGGAAGCTACTGGTCCTGTCAGGTATGGAACTAACTCTCGGGAGGTGACTTTTTCTATTTTAAGTTTCCTTTATCAAGCAACTATGCCAGGCCTGTAACATCATAACCTTTATCTTTAGAGCAGAGAGAAAAGCATGTTGTGAATGGATTGGTGTACCTGTGGAGAAGGCCATGCCCAGGCAGGTGTTGAAGCCAGTGATGGCCAGAATGTCATCGAAGCTGCCAGCAGCCATGAGTAAGGTGGGGATGCCTTTCTCGACACCATAGCCTCCTTCCTGCAAAAGGAGCATTGAAGGCACCACGACAGCTGGAGACACAGCACCTAAAACAAAACTAAGCAGGCAGTGCTTTAGGCATTTATGACAGTATCTTACTACTGCTGCTGCTGTTGTTAAAATTATAGTGACCACTACTCTTTTAGAGATTATACTTTAGAAAACTATAGCCTTTCAGACAGCAACCAAACCAGAAATATACACACACATACAAGTTCCACAGAATACTTCATCAAAGTGTAGCTATGGGTGGTCTATATTAGAATTACTTAGGTTGCCTAAAAATATATATTTATGAGTGTTATAAAAGACCTATTGGAGTTATGCCCCAGGAATCTTTTTTTAAAAAAGAAAAACAAAAAACCATTCATGGTATAAGGTCTGAAAAACACAGACACAGACTTTTTGAATTGGAACTCACTAAAATTAGGCATTCTACCAGGACTTTGTATGTAAAATAAAGCAATAGATTAGAAGAAGGCTGTAATGGCACTGACTGTGATACTCATCATGGGAGCAGTAGAAACAGCAGAAAAGCATTTTAGAGAGCTTACTGCATGCCAAACATTATTTTAAGCATTTTATATATATTAACCAAATTAATTCTCACAATAACTCCATGGAATACTTACAATAATTATCTTCATTTTTGCAAATGGGTAAATTGAGGCACAAAGAGATTAAATAACTTGCCAAAGAAGTTATTTGCGTAATGCAAAGTCACAGCGCTGGGATTTGAATCCAAGCCATGTAGCTCCAGGGTCGTAACCCTTAGAAGTAAGAATTTACTTCTTGTCTACTCACTAACACTAAATTACTAAGTATTTGCATATTTATTTATTTACTTCTCATGGCTCTTAACCACATAATCAAAACAGTCTGGTGATGGAAGAAGGAGGAAAACAGTGTTGAGTGTTGATCACTGTTAACTGTATCTTTTATTCTTTGTACAGACTCTCAGATGAGACCTGGCACGTCTCTCACTAACAAGGAATCACACAGAGGTAAAAGATCATGATTTCTTCAATAGTTTACTATAATCACTGCAAAAGTTAGACATCTTTGCTCTCTGCATGTGTGCTCAGCTGTGTCTGACTCTTTGAGACTCCAAGGACTGTAGCCTGCCAGGCTCCTCTGTCCAAAGAACTTTCCAGGCAAGAATACTGGAGTGGGTTGCTGAATTTCCTTCTGCAGGGAATCTTCCCAATCCAGGGAGCAAACCCACATTTTCTGCATCGACAGGTGGATTCTTCACCACTTGTGCCACTTGGGAAACCCATAAAGTTAGACACACACTATTATTATATATACTATACTTTGAAGCTAATATTTAGATTATGCTAGAACATCAGCTGAAGAACTGATGCTTTTGAACTGTGGTGTTGGAGAAGACTCTTGAGAGTCCCTTGGACTGCAAGGAGATCCAACCTGTCCATCCTAAAGGAAATCAGTCCTGGGTGTTCATTGGAAGGACTGATGCTGAAGCTGAAACTCCAATACTTTGGCCACCTGATGCGAAGAGCTGACTCATTTGAAAAGACTCTGATGCTGGGAAAGATTGAAGGCAGGAGGAGAAGGGGACGACAGAGGATGAGATGGTTGACTGGCATCACTGACTCATTGGACTTAAGTCTAAGTAAACTCTGGGAGCTGGTGATGGACAGGGAGGCCTGGTGAGCTGCAGTCCATGGGGTCACAAAGAGTAGGAAACAGCTGAGTGACTGAACTGAATTGAACTGAAGAACATCAGTGATGTATTTTCTGATGTCCTCAAGAAAATGCTATTATGTATTCGCCTGTAAGGAATCAGTGAAAGCACTAAAATGTCTGTACATATTTTTCACACAACAAAGAAAAATCATGAATTACCCCAGCATGAATCCCCATTGCCATGGTAAACCCATGACAAAGTAGGCCAGGACAGCAGATGCACACGCCTCCACGAGACAAGGACCCAAGGATAACCTTACACAAACACCCTTCAACTTCTTCAGGGCCTGAAATATAAACACAGACATACTAAAACAATTCTCTAAAGACCTGCAGAGATTATGACCTTAATTGCTTTTGCAATTAATGTGTACTCAGATCATCACACATTTTCTGGGAATGTCCTGCTTAGAACATCCCATGTTCTAAGTGTTTAGAGAAAGCTTATCTATTCCTCACAGCAGCCCTATGATACAAGTAATATCATTATGCCCATTTTGTAGATGTCCTCATGTAAAAAGGCACACATTAAAGTGCTTTGCCTCAGATCACGACATCAGTGAGTTGTGGATCTAGGTTTGCACCCAAGCAGGCCACTTCCAGTGTCTGTGTTCATAATCCACACACTAGCTGATTTAATCCTCTCGGGTTTAGCTTTATTTATAATCCGTGGTCCCCAAATGAGGCTTGGATGAAAACCTTTATCCCCCAAAATATTCATTCCCACAATCAAAACATACATGTAAAAAGCATTAACAAAACCCATATTTGAGACTCATTCTATATACAAGGCAATTTCCTGAGCCAGTACTCAGCCCTAAAAACTTGTATGGGGCTTTGCCCACCAAAAATGACATCTCCTCTCTCACAAGCACCATCTATAACTACAGCCAATATCTCTGTCAGAGAAGTGGAGGATCTTTAGTCTTGGTGTTGTCATCACACAGTATCTCCACTTTTCTCCAAGAAAGAATAGGCAACATCTACTGGAGCCATTCTGCATGGATTCTCTTCTCGTCCTGAGAATGTCACGCAGCATCCACCCCTATTCCCAAAGCTCAGTGATTCTAAATACTGGCAGAAGTGAAGGAACAAAATTCTAGTCAATAATTAGAAATCTGTACTTCGTACATTTGAATCAAGCCCAAGACCAGCGCGGACCAATATGACAGACAGGGCTATGCTTCTCAAAGCAGAGGACCACTTGTGCTTGATCTGTACGTTATCACTGATGACAGGGATGTTTCTGATGAGAAAGCCAGCAAGCAGCATGCCTAGAATGGAGAAGTCAACAATTTAGTTCAAACAAAGGCAGTAAGTTTTGGCATTTTAGCTATTAAAGAGACAACCCTATAATCCTAGGTAGGTAATATCAATACTTTCTTTTTTGCTTATTCGTTAGGTGAACTTAGGTTAAACTTTTAATTTAAAAAGTTAATATAATCAATTAGAGGAGCTAATGTAAGGTTTTAATATGCAGATAAAAACAACTGATTAGAATAATTAATAATTCCTGAACTGAACCTGAAAGGGGGAAACAGGATGCAATATTTGGATAGAAAATGTGATCAAATTCTATGCATGAGACAAGTGCTCGGGCCTGGTGCACTGGGAAGACCCAGAGGGATCGGGTAGAGAGGGCGGTGGGAGGGGGGATCGGGATGGGGAATACATGTAAATCCATGGCTAATTCATGTCAATGTATGACAAAAACCACTACAATATTGCAAAGTAATTAGCCTCCAACTAATAAAAATAAATGAAAAAAATTTAAAAAACAAAGAAGAAAATGTGATCAAATTCTAAATGTCGAAAATTTAAATACAATGTCCAGTTTAGTCATCTCTTTGTGTGTAAAGAGCAAATAGCTTCTGAAATTATTGGCTATTTCAGATTACCAGAAATATCAATAAATACCTATATGGATTCTATTTTACCTTCACATAAGATAATTTAATTAAAAAGCACACAACCTGCTCTGCAAAGGCTTAGAGTGAGTTTTGATGAAATATGACATGCTCTGTCATGTCAGGTGTTAACTCTTTTTTCACTTAGCCATTCAACATTCAGCAAATGCCTTCAGTGTTACAGATACTATAATAGGCATTAGAGATATAATAATGAACAAAAACTGGGTACCACACCTCAACAAGCTTTCAGGCTCTAGGGGAGCGAGACAAAGTGACAACTGAATTTTACAGGAGCATGAAGAGGCACTGTGTGAGCTGAGATGGAAGGGGTGAGTCAGAAGGGTCCCAGAAAGAGGAAAAGGGGTGAAGAGACTGAGGAGTTGAAAAGTCTCTGAAAGAGAAAGCAGTTTCTCCCAAGGTATGAAAAAGAAGTGTGACATTTGGGGAAGGGCAGGTAGCTGAGTGTGACTGAGTGGTGTGTGAGGGATTCCTGCCCTCATGATAACACCACACGTCGTACAAGGGAAAACACTTCTCCAGCAGATCCTGTGAGGCTTCTGGCCTCTGTTCTCCAGCACTGCCCTCATCTCACCATGCCCTTATAAGCACCACCAGTTAAATGACTGGACACATTTACGAGTGTTGGGATGTTTTGAATATAAGCTATGAGAACAGAAAAGAATCACCAGTGCACTTTTTTGTGACTTGCTCCAGAGGCAGACAGGTAAAGGAGTACCCCTCCCAGGCATATTTCATTACTGACATTTCATCTGGAAGAAGGTCTCTAAGTTCTGAATTCTGCAGTCACAGTCTTTCTAGAACTTGTGAAAGTAATAACTGGCCCACAATAACTACTTTTAAAAGAATAATTATAAGAACAATACATGCCTATGGTAAAATTTAAAATTACTGACAAGGATAAAGTGACAAGTATATGCCCCACCTCAACTGCAACTTTTGATCTTCATTCCTCAAAGGTTTGTTTCCACTGTTAAGGATTTTCTGTCCACTTTCAGGAAGTTTCAATACCTATTTAAGCATGCCTCTGTGTGTGTGTGTGTGTGTGTGTGTGTGTGTGTGTGTGTCTGTATGCACTGGACACAAATAAAAGCACATTTATATACCACTGTATAATTTCTTCCTCATTTAACAATATATCCTGGACATATTTCCACTGAGGTGTGTGTGTTTGCCTTATTTTTTAATAATTGCAAAAGAATCCCATTGGAAGTACCATAATTTTGGGACCAATTAATGAACTTAAAAGATTTTTCATTACAAACATTGCTGAAATGAGCACAGTTCAGACATCAAGTGTTTATTAAGGGCCAAACCTTTACTAACCCTGATAATACAGATATGAGCTAGACCAACAAGGTCCTTGTCCACATGGAGCTTACATATTTGTAGGCTTGTATAAGTATATCCACAGGATAATTTCTACCAGCGGAAATACTAAGCTCTAGGGTACAGGCATATTTCATATTTATGGATGCTGATGAATTATCAAGTCCAAAATATTGCACTAACCATAGATTTTATTAGTATGCCAGTCATTCCTTACTGAAACTTAAAATGTGGCTCTAAATCAGCCCTAAATTATTATAGCGTGTAACTACCTGAAATCAAAAAGAATAATAATCTAATATGTTACGAGGCTTTCTTGGAGTTTTAAGGTAGAAGGGAGCATTTTCTGTTCCCCAAATGAAAGTGAAAATTTCCCTGGGACTTAGTTTCCTTTGCCAGTGGCCGGGTTGCTGGGGCCACCTGACAGGGACTTGGCTGGTGTCCTCTTCTTGCCTTTAAGCCCACGTGGGCCGCTCCCTTGGTTGTGGAAGAAAGAACACCTTCTTTGATGGAGGACTGTTAAATTTTTTTCTTAATTTGCATTATGGAATTTTTTGTTCAGTAATAATTTGCTTCAAAAAAGCTTGGAAGTAGATGAAATAAGATTGGCCATGAATTGATAACTCTTGCATATTTAAAAATATTTACATTTAAGAACAAAAAAGAATAATACTCCTCTATTAAGAAAGGTGTTCTTTCCTCCACAACCAATGGAGAGGCCCAAGTGGGCTTACAGGCAAGAAGAAGAACATTCAAATAAAAATCACCAGTGCAGACCACTGGCAAAGGAAAGTGGTCCATGGAAATTGCTTTCACGTTCATTTTGGGAACAAAAAATGCACCTTCATCCTCCACTGCCAGCCACTATTTCTTCTTCTTTAAGTCTTTTAAAAAATATTTATTTATGTATTTATTTTGGTCATGCTAGGTATTAGTTGCAGCACATGGGATCTTTAGTTGCAGTGTGTTGGATCTAGTTCCCTGACTAGGGATTGAACCTGAGCCCCTGAATTGGGAACATAGAGTCTTAGACACTGGACCACCAGGGAAGTCCCTCTAGCAATTATTTCAATGAGTTTTTGAAAATATAGAACAGGCAATTATCACACACATTCTGTAATAACAAGCCTTTATGAATTCAGATAATGTTCCATTTTCAGATCAGGGCCCTAGTACAATAGTGATTTGAGTGGCACTTGGTGGTAAAGAATCCACCTGGGAGGCAGAATATGCAGGAGATGTTGGTTAGATCCCTGGATCGGGAAGATCCCCTGGAGGAGGAAATGGCAAGCCATTCCAGTATTCTTGCCTGGAGAATCCCATGGACAGAGAAGCCTTGCAGGTAACAGTTTAAAGGATTGCAGAGTTGGACATGATTGAAGTGACTGAGCAAACACTACTACAATAAGAACTGGTAAACTTTTTTCTGTCACAAGTATTAACACTGCAAAAAGAGATGGTAAGATACATCAGATATGTGACCTTCGAGAATACTTTCAGTTACCCCCGGAGATTTCATGTGATCTCAAAGCCCAAGGATGTACCACTTGGGTACCTGGTATATTCTGTTGTAATAACAGGCACAGAATGTGGAAAAAAGATGAAGTAAAGCACTTTTTCATGGTTTCTGGAACAGCAGTCTCAACTTAGGTTGCATATTAGAATCACTTGGGGAGCTTTTAAAAATTCTGATGCCCAGGGCATATAGCACATCAATTAATTCAGAATCTCTGGGCACCAGCTTTTAAAAAAAACTTCCTGAAATGATTCCTATGTGCAACCAGGTTTGAAAACTTATGATTATTAGACTATTTGAAAACTTAAGATAATTTATTGGGCTTCCCTGGTGGCTCAGATGGTAAAGAATCCGCTTGCAAGGCAGGAGACCTAGGTTCGATCCCTGGGTCAGCAAGATCCCCTGGAGGAGGAAATGGCAACCCGCTCCAAAATTCTTGCCTGGAGAATTCCACGGACAGAGGAGCCTGGCTGGCTACAGTCCACGGGGTCACAAAGGAGCCGGACATGACTGAAGCAACTCACTCTCTCTCTCTAAAACAACTTATTAGAAATGCAAAATCTCAGGTCCCACCCTCAGATCTACTTAATTAGAAGCTGCATTGTAACAAGGTCCCAAGGTCATTTTTCTGTGATAAAGTTTGAAAAACACTGATTTAGATATATGAGTCAGCAAACACTTTCTGCCAAGGGGCAGATCAGATAAGAAGCATCTTAGATTTTGTGGGCCACAGGGTCTCTTTCATAACTTCTCAACTTTGCACTGTGATGTGAAAACAGCCACAGACAATATGCAAAGGAATGAGCATGGGTGCATTCCAATAATATCTTATTTACAAAAGAGATGGATTGCCAACCTTTTATCATAGCATACAGGCGTATCCAGGGCTTCTCTCATAGCTCTGTTGGTAAAGAATCCGCCTGCAATGCAGGAGACCCTAGTTTGGTTCCTGGGTTGGGAAGATGCCCTGGAGAAGGGAAAGGCTACCTACTCTAGTTTTCCTGGACTTCCCTTGTGGCTCAGCTGGCAAAGAATCCACCTGCAATGTGGGAGATCTGGGTTTGATCCCTGGGTTGGGAAGATCCCCTGGAGAAGGAAAAGGCTACCTACTCCATCCAGTATTCTGGCCTGGAGAACTCATGGACTATATAGTCAGTCCATGGGGTTGCAAAGAGTCGGGCATGACTGAACGACTTTCACTTTTACTTCACAGTCATATCTAGAAACAACTCATTTTAACAACAATGCCATTAATAAACTTCAGAGAACAAAAAGTACTCATGATAAATAATATTAATTAAACAAAAAACAAAAACAAAAACCCTGTAGTTTTACCTAAAATTGAAAAATATATTAAGAAATAGTGCATGATAACTCCGGCTTTCCTGGTGGCTAATTGGTAAAGAATCTGCCTGCTGGTGCAGGAGACATGCTGGGAAAATCCCACCTGCCTCAGAGCAGCTAATCCTGGGTGCCACAATTACTGAGCCTGTGTTCTAGAGTCCAGGAACCGCAACTCAACTACTGATGTCCGGGTGCCCTAGGGCCCATGCTTTGCAACATAAGACGCCACCACAACGACAAGCCCAGGCACCACAACCCTGCTTGTTGCAACTAGAGAAAAGCCTGAGCAGCGATGAACGCCCAGCACAGCCAAAAATAAAGTAAAGAATAAATAAAAATTTTAAAAGATGTAAATAACTCTAGTTCTTTTTATATTTAGCTTCAACTGCTGACCACAGAGGGGCTTCCCAGGTGGCACTAGTGGTAAAGAATCTACCTGCAATGTAGGAGATGCAAGAGATATGGGTTTGATCCCTGGGTCAGGAAGATCCCCTGGAGGAGGAAATGGTAACCCGCTCCAGTATTCTTGCCTGGGAAATCCCATGGACAGAGGAGCCTGGTGGGCTACAGTCCATGGGGTCACAAAGTGTCAGACACGACTGAAGTGCTGCTGCTGACCACATATTCATTGTCCTCAATAACATAAAATAACAGAAAACAGTTTAACTCAGGAAATGTGTGCAAATACATCTGTATGTGTAAGAGGTATGCAATTTTAAAATAAAAGTGATTTATGTATCTGTTAGACAAGGACACAAAATTTCTTTTGTGGTAGAATGAAAGTAGTAAACTAAAATTTTATAACATAGAATTTTTAGAAGAAACATTAAAGACACAATGTCCAGTGTTAAGACTAATTTTCATGTGTATCATGTTTGGAAAGTGTGGACACCCAATAATATGCTGGTAAATGCTTAATAAATAGGTCTCCAAAGACGTGTGTGTATTTATACATATATATTTACATATTTGTTATAAATTTTACTGATATAAAGGATGTGAAGAATATAGTTTATAAATATACAACAATCATCACTGTGTCTGACTCTCTGTGACCCCATGGACTGTAGCCCACGAGGCTCCTCTGTCCATGGGATTCTCCAGGCAGGAATACTGGAGTGGGCTGCTATGCCCTCCTCCAAGGGATCTTCCCAACCCAGGGACTGAACCTGGTCTCTTGCACTTCAGGCAGATTCTTTACTAACTGAGCTACCCGGGAAGCCCCAAATTCTATGTAGCCAATTGATTTTCACTGAACGCTCTCATTATTTTTCATTGTTGAACTCCATATTCATAACCAACTATGACTGCAGTTCAACCATGAACTGACAAAATCACATTACAAATAAGTGCTTGACTACTATCTGGTTTAGCAAAGAAGTCACTTATATCACTTATGAGTGAGTATAGTGTCATAGGAATATAGGGTGATAGTTTTGTTTATGTTAATGAATAAGATGAAAGTGAAACAATGAAAATGCATGCTGGAACATCACTCATTTATCAATGACACGAATGAGTAATAGTATATTAAGTCCTAATTTCTAGCACTTGCTGATTTCTGTCATACAGAATGTGGATTTAGGAAGACAATGACAGACACACCATTACATATTATTTCCATAATCTCAAGAGCATAGATAAGAGGAATATTTAGAAAAATAATTAGGAAATGATCTGTTTTGAGTATTTATTGCTCTTGTTTTTATTGTAAGTTATTTCATTTAAATTACATATAACTTAACTTTTTAAAATTGCTGTTTAGGGAATTCCCTGGCAATCCAGTGGTTAAGGACTCAGTGCTTTCACTTCTGGGGTCTGGTTCAATCTCTGGTTGGAAAATTAAGATCCCACAAATGGCATGGCCAAAAAATAAACAAATAAATCAATAAAAATCTATTTTAAACTCTACTTAACAACCTGCTCACTGATCTTAAAATTTAACAACTGGCTTTTGTTTTGGTTCTAGTACAGCAAATACAAAAATATTTTATATCTATCTCCCAGAGCTTTCCAAGCTACTGTTTTTAAAATATGATTTATTCTGAAGAAAACAGGACGTGTTTAGCACTTACCCAGAAGAGGAGGCAGTGGAGGTAATGTAGGTAACTTAATGAGTCCGAAAAGTTTACCTCCAATGATGGCACAATAGAATAGTATTATAATTCCAAACAAGTTTCCTCCAGGAAGACATTCACTGCCGGTAATTGACCAAACCACAGCCCATAGAAGAACCACCATGGTAACTGAAATAAACCAGGGAAACTAGTTTCTACCAATGAGTTGTCATCTCCAGGTTTTAATATAATCCAATCATAAGAAAATTAATACATAACAAATATTTATAACCACATGTAAGTTTTAAAGAACATTAGCAAAATAAACAATGGGGCAATTATCAACTGTCTTAAAAAACAGGATATTACCAGTGACTCTGAATCTACCTATGCACCCTTCTTAATCCTATCACCCACTTCCTTTCACACTGTAAGAAGAAACTACTATTTTGGATTTTTTACAGTTCCCTTATTTTTTCTTGTAATTTTACCATCAATATTCACTAGTAATAAAAAAAGAGAAACAGTTGCTATCTTTATCCTCTTCACAGAACATGAAAACACCCGAACAATCATACTCCAGTATTTTAGTATTCTAGTTCTGCTTTGAATTAAACTTTACTGTTTAATTATTGCTTCTTTTCTATAGTCAATGTCTGTTTAGAATTACCCACATACTTACCTTTTCTTGATCATCATTCATTATGGCATCTCAAACCTTTCATCTGGACAATTATTTTGCTGCCTGAAGTATTGCCTTTTGGAGAGGCATGTCTATTAGAAAGTGAGATATGTTTCCCTGTTCGAAAACACTGTGTTCTACAAAATTGAACTTTGAAAACAGAAAGGCTCACAGGAAAAAGAGTATGGCAGACCACTCACAACTCAAAACCTGTGACCAAAGCACTAACAAAAACAACAATCCTAATAAAAGTGCCAGCACAGTTATAGCTCCACTAATATCTGTATCTCCCGTAGTCAACCTCTTCTTTGCAGACTTAGACCCTGGAACCAGGGAATTTCTGGGCTGTTCAGAGGTTAGGCCTTGGCGCTTCCACTGCAGTGTCCTGGGTTTGATCCCTAGTTGGTGAACTAAAATTCCACAAGCTCTGTGGCTTGGCCAAAAACAAACAAACAAACAAACAAAAAAAACCCCAAACCCAACAACCAAAACCCTGGAATCACAGTATTTCAAGATGTAGAATCTTGAAAGCATTGGCTCTAGATAGAGAATAGTTCCACCAAAATCTGACCCAGACTGTAGTCTTTTCCATTAATCAAATGGTTTGTTGTTGTTAATTTTTTTAACTGGGGTAAGTGTTGGCAAATTCTTCATCAACGTGTGGTCTCATTAGATACCTTAACACCGTGGCAAGTTTGAGTGTTTGAGTCCCTAAGAGAACAGCCAACTGCCTGAAAAGAAGGAACTTACACAGGATGTTCAGCTTTTTAAAATGTTTTATCTTTAAAGTTAGTAAAGCTTTATAATTTTAATACCTGATCTTTCACTTCATACTTAATCTGCCATTGCTTGATCATGTTAAATACTAATATGCCAGGAAAAATTATATACAAAAATGCAAACTCCATATTACAGCAATACAATTACCTATTTGCTACTGTATATAAACTAATTCAGAGATCAAATTGCCAACACCCATTGGGTCACTGAGAAAGCAAGAGAGTTCCAGAAAAACATCTACTTCTGCTTTATTGACTACGCCAAAGCCTTTAACTGTGTGGATCACAACAAACTCTGGAAAATTCTTAAAGAGATGGGAATACCAGACCAACTTACCTGCCTCCTGAGAAATGTATATGCAGGTCAAGAAGCAACAGTTAGAACTGGACATGGGACAGGAGATTGGTTTCAAATCGGGAAAGGAGTATGTCAAGGCTATATATTGCCACCCTGCTTATTTAACTTATATGCAGAGTACATCATGAGAAATGTTGGACTGGATGAAGCACAAGCTGGAATCAAGATTGCCAGGAGAAATATCAATAACCTCAGATACGCAGATGATACCACCCTTATGTCAGAAAGTGAAGAAGAACTAAAGAGCCTCTTGATGAAAGTGAAAGTGAAAGAGGACAGTGAAAAAGTTAGGTTAAAACTCAACATTCAGAAAACTAAGATCATGGCATCTGGTCCCATCACTTCTGGCAAACAGAGTGGGAAACAATGGGAACAGTGACAGACTTTATTTTTGGGGCTCCAAAATCACTGCAATGGTGACTGCAGTCATGAAATTAAAAGACGCTTGCTCCTTGGAAGAAAACTTATGACCAATCTAGACAGCATATTAAAAAGCAGAGACATTACCAACAAAGGTCTGACTAGTCAAAGCTATGGTTTTTCCAGTAGTCATGTGAGAGTTGGACTGTAAAGAAAGCCAAGTGCCGAAGAATTGATGCTTCTGAACTGTGGTGTTGGAGAAGGCTCTTGAGAGTCCCTTGGACTGCAAGGAGATCCAACCAGTCCATCCTAAAGGAAGTTGGTCCTGAATATTCCTTGGAAGGACTGATGTTGAAGCTGAAACTCCAATACTTTGGCCACCTGATGCAAAGAACTGACTCATTGGAAAAGAGCCTGATGCTGGGAAAGATTGAAGGCAGGAGGAGAAGGGGACGGCAGAGAATGAGATGGTTGGAAGGCATCACTGACTCTATGGACAGGAGTTTGAGTAAGCTCCCGGAGTTGGTGATGGAGAGGGAAGCCTGGCGTGCTGCAGTCCATGGGGTCACAAAGAGTCAGACATGACTGAACAACTGAACTGACTGAACTAATAAACTAATTCATGTAGCAGAGCATGCTCTATTTTTTATGAAGATGTGTTGGTAGCAAATTTTTAGATTTATCTGGAATTATCTTTATTCTCATTCTTAAAAGATAGATTTTCCAGGTATACAATTCTAAGTCGAGAGTCACTTCCAGTTCCTTGAAAATATTACTCTCTGGTTTTCTGTCTTTTACTATTTTTTTTAAGCCTAATTTTATCTCTTTTAGGGAATTCTTTTTCTTTGGTTGTTTTTAAGATCTTTCTTTTCCTTTGATTTTCTGCAATTTCAGTATACATTAAGGAATGGCTTCCTTTTGGTTTGCTTAGGATTTATCCTTTATAATCAATTCTGGAAAATTCTGTATTTCTTCAAATATTTTATCTCCCTCATTCCTCCTAGTCTCTGTTTCTGGAACTATGACTAAATGTTTATACCTGCTTCACGTCACTAACCCTAGTTTCACATTTCCCGTCTTTGTGTTTTGCACTGTACAGATCTATTTGCTAGTTAACCAATTTTCTTTTCACTTACTCTGCTGTCTAATCCATTTACTGTTTTAACTTTTACTTACTTTATTTTTCATTTCTAGAATTTTAATTTGGTTCTTAGTAAAATCTGTTCATTTTTACAGTTATATGTTTTATATTCATATCTGCTATTTCTTCTTTAACTCCTTTGTAGATATCAGAAATATTTTATATTCTATTTTCTGATAATGAAAAAGTTTGAAATGTTTCCTTGTGCATTTGTTTCTGATTTTGTTGTTGTTGTTTGTTTGTTTGTTTTCTTGCAACAATGAACTCGTCCTTGGAACTTTATCTTTGGGAATTGTTGGAGCCTTAGGTTAAATGAGTTTTCCCAGATAGGATCTGTATTTGCTTCAACCCTTAGACACTACAATCTGGGACCACTTTTACATATATTTTCAGCTTGAGGTTCTTGTCTGTGAATTTGGAGCACAAATGAGAATGAAGTTACCCATTTTTAGGGGAGACTCTCCCCTCCCCCAGCCAGCACTACAGTTTAGACAGACAGGTTTAGTGACTGGGCCCCTATGCAGGGCAGGTTTACCTCATATACACCATCACACTGGGTTCCAGTTTTGGGTGAGGAAAAATGACTTCTCCTATGATACTCTTCCCAACCTGGGCAGGCTCTAGCAAAGCCTCCTATAACCTCACAGTTCTCAAAATGAATCTCAAGTTCACTGGTGTTTTCCAAAAGCCTCTGGAGTGAAGACCAGCTGAGTGTTCATCTCTCCTAATTATACTTCGGTTTCAGGATCTGATGACTTCCTATTTTCTTGTCAGATAAAAGGTATATTTAAAAAGACTTATTGTTTTTAGATGTTTTCATTGGTATAAATTAGAGGATCGTTCCTTGAGCCTTATCTACGCACTGCTATAGATCAAGTCCAATGTCCCCCTATTAAAACCCCTACATAATTGTTCCAGGTTTTCTAGGTTTATGATGCTATTACAAGATAACAAATAGGCCTTCAGAATTTCCCAACTCGCTATAGGGACTGAAATTTCTAACAGTTTTGGAAGTATAATGGGAAAGTAGGAATTGCCAGCTACTAAATTTTATTTTATCACAGCAAAAACCCAGTTTTATACTAAATTCAGAAAGGTAGAATTAAGAGGTTTTTTTTTTACTTCAATGCTACTTAAAAAAAAAAAAAACTTATAATTTTCCTTTTCCTTTCTTTTTTCTTTCCATTATATTCATAATGAAGTTCTAAATACATAGTAAATGTACATTCCTAAGGTTTCTCTGAATCATGTTTCATTCAGTTAATAATTTACTATCTATACTTTTGAAAAATAATATTTTCCCATGTAAGATTTACTCCTTTAAGAAGAATACTTTGTGTACTGAATACTTTGTAAGATTTACTCCTTTAAGAAGAATACGTTGTGTACTGATTGCTTTTGAATACAAAAGCAATCTTGTCAGCCTCAGGAGCAGTAGTACAAGAACAGGAATGAGAGCTGTTTATATGTGATGAGTCCCCATTTCTCAGGCAGCTTTATAGACAATGATTACAGACTTTTAAAAAATTAGTCTCCAAGGGAATTCCTGAGAGATCCAGTGGTAAGGACTTGGCGCTTTCACTGCTGTGGCCCAGGTTCAATCCCTGGTCAGGGAACTAAGATCCTGCAAGCCATGCAGCTGAAAAAACAAACAAAAAAAAAACACAAAAACAAACACAAACAACAACGATCCCCTCCAAACCCCGCATCTTAAAAAAACAAAATCAGTCTCCAAATCACATCATTCATGTATACCCTGCCCGTAGTGCAATCCATGTTTTTTGTACTGTAACTTTATCTTTGGGACTTGCTGGAGACTTAAATGTTTTAACTAGAAGTGTGCCATAACTTGAACAGAGAAAGTTAAAAAAAAATAACAAAAAGGACAGAAAGATTATTACATTATTTATTGCTTTCTCAACTAGTATATATTTTGGAACCTGGTTTTCTCTACAAGTTTTAGATAAACTTTGAGATTTTTTTCCTTAAGGTAATTTAAAAACTTACCTAATTTCATTGAAAACATACTGGAGCCTGAAGTATCATATAACATATTATGCTTGGCTTCCACTATCCTAGTTGAGAATGATAAAAATGTTTTTCAGACCTCATAAATGAAGTATAACTATGAAGAAGTGAGTCTGATTTTTCAGTAAACATACTTTGAGATCAACATATTTATTGGGGGAGGCCATATATTTACTCTAATGGTACTGTCATCCCTCAATGAAGTTTTTGAACCTGTCTTTAAATTTGTGTTTATAGACAAGTTTCAATCCCCTTCTCCTTTTTCCTACCATATTACACATCCTCCAATATACATATAATATAGATACACATGCACACATTCCCTTTGAACAAAAACAGCATTACTGAATCTGGACATGTATTTATTTACCAAACTGATACAATAATGTTGACTTGCCTCCAAAAACCACATCCATTCCTAAAAGACAAATAGATCCCAACCCTAACAACATTCAAAATAGTGCTGAGATAATCCCTACCCCCCAAATTTTAGGAGCAGCAATAAGCTGAATTGGTCACTAGGATCTGTACTTAAAAAAATGATGAATTGATTTGGAAGTAAAAACTGAGCTGCTTGCTCAAACATTACTGGCATTACTTAACAGTAGTAACAACTAACATTTACGTAGTGCTTTTCTGTTTGTCAGTGATTTCTCAATGATTTTTCTCATTGGAAGCCTTACATAACCCTGTGAAATCCCTCAGACACAGAAAAGGTAGATGCGTTTGACCTCTGATCTCTCCCTCTTCCTACTAGCTGTAACAGTGGTGACAAGGTGCTCTTGAAAGCCCTGTGTTGAAGGTGGCGGAGCCTGTCAGCCTAGGGCCCTGAAGAGCTATGAAGCAGAGTTACCTACAATTATAAGTGGTCCACCTTGTAGTTTTTATGTGAGAGAGAAGTAAACGTCTTTTTGTCCCTTAAGCCGTATTATTTTGGAATCGATCATTATAACAACCTTATCTTTTACCCTCTTGTTCTGACTTCATCCTTACCATGTACATACCATTTGTTATTACTCTAGCCAGTAAACCGTGTGGAGGGCAAGCATGTGTTTGTCTTCGTCTTTGCAAATGATTTGGTTCAGCTGGTGTTTCTTGCACTTTTTCATTGCTATTCAGTAAGTTGCTTCCTTCTGTTGGTTCATTTCCATCTATACCTCTGAGGTTCAAAACTGTTTCCTGCTGTGTTTAAAGCAATTAAAAAATTCTTACAACTATGTATTTACTGTACCTTTTTATAGTTACTGAGTCATCACATCACAAATTAAATTTCCGTTGCTAGAATCAAGGCTAACACTTTATAGGAGAAACAAACAGCTTCATTACTAGCTAATTGGTGAATGCTTGGAATAAGAACTATGTAAGGAATACTTACCACTGAGTCACTATTTGCAGCATTATTGAGTCACGTAAAAATTTCATTGTGTTTTTCAATACTGGGTTTAAAAATTAGCCTATTTAAAACACAACTCAAGGCAATAGCTACTAAATATGTCAGAGTGATTCAGAAAGAGATAATCATCTGTGGTAAAACAAGTTCACATTCATTCATTTACTTGAATTTTAAGCAATAAAGAAAGAGGGGGAAGAAACCGGCATCATTCTAGAGGTTAGGCTGGGAAGAGAAAGCATCTCACAGGCTCTCCATGCAGGGCCAGCTGCGGACTATCTGGGAAAACTGGTAATCACACCCACCATCAGTTTGGGGATTTAAGAATGGAGAGAATTGTCAACTGAGTGACAGAGAAGGAACAGAATACAATTCTGTCAAGGATTTGGAAATATACAGTCGCCACCTTAAGGAAATGGTTGGGATGTTTTACATTTGATCATACCTGTCTTCCTTGATTTGAGAAGGCTGTGTGATTCACCTCTGTGGATGGTTCTGAATCTTCGTGTGCAGCTCTTTTATCTTGATTCCTCATGATTTATAATTAAGAATAAGATGATATAGGGAAGAGGAAGAAAATCTGTGTTGAAAGAGTATAGATATAGAATAGCAATTTGAGATTTAAATAAATTATTTAAACAGCAATTTGAGCAATTTAAATGAAGTACTTATTTTTCCCCTTTATGAATGGTTAAAATAGGTTAGACTATTCTTAACTTTCAACTGAATTTTTTTTTTGGATTACAATATATTTTCCTAATTCTTACCTTTTTATCTTTCTTGAAAAAGTCCTTGTTCACCATCATATTTTTATATGATTTCTTTCCCACCCTGCTTTCTGAGCTGTACTTCAAATAATCCTAGTAATATTTGTTATACTCTCCTCTCTAATGGGTCATTTTGAAGCATAAAAGGGGCAGTTAGCTTTCCAATATTGACATGAAGCACCAAAGAGAAATATATGGATACCATCATATTCAGAGAAAGTACAGTCACTCATTCCTGCTTAGTTCTTATTTCATAATTAAAGTTAAAAAAAAAATACAACACTTGATGGAGCAGCCACAATGTTTTAGACACAAATAAGTGTTAGGACAGTCTCTTGATAGTCACTTGGATAATGCAAATATTACCAAAGCACATCCTTTGTATTCTACAGACTTACAATACACCCCCCCCCCAAAATCACTTATATGAAGTAACTAAAAAAACTGATAGGGCAGACCTATAATTGGTTTCATAAACACCCACTTCAATCTCTTCTCCCTTGGCCTCCCCTGCTATATAGGCTGAAAAGCCAAAATATTCCACTTCCTATCTACTTCTGCAGCTAGAGGTGCCCATGTGTCATACTTCCATGTAAAGAGATACAAGTGGGAGTCCCTGGGGACTTGGGAATTTCATTCCCAAACAAATGAAAAGGCCTTCGGGTGGAGAGGGAGGTGGGAGGGGGGACCGGGATGGGGAATACATGTAAATCCATGGCTAATTCATTTCAATGTATGACAAAAAACCACTGCAATGTTGTAAAGTAATTAGCTTCCAACTAATAAAAATAAATGGAAAAAAAAATGAAAAGGCCTTTCAAGGATGATACTGTTTACTCTTTGCCCTCTCATATTTCTTTCTCCTTCTCAGAATGTCGATATACTACTTGGAGGGCCAACAGCCATCGTTCAACCATGAGAATAGAAATTCCTATACCCAGGATAGTAGACAAGTAAGGAGGAGCTGGTTCCTTGACGACATCATGAGTTGTTGCGTCAGTCTTGGACTGCTTTGGAGTAATTGTATAAATCACTATCAGTCAAATTTTTTTTTCTATTAACAAAACTTATTCCTAATGCAACAGAATGATGAGTATTATAATAGAGGTACAAACTATAAGTTTGACAGAACCAAAGAGAAAATTATGTGAGAGAAGGGAAAATCTAAGTCAATATACACGAAAGTGTCCAATATGTGGTAGACATTCATGACCAAGAATTAATCAGGACCCCTGCCTCAAGGAGTCATTCTCTGTTTAACAAAATGCAAGATGTTTGCATTTAAAATTTCAAAGAAAATTATATTCTTTCCACCATCACAACCATCACCACTACTTTTCTTCCTCACAAAACACAATGTTGGCCACAGTGGCATCTCAAAAAGCTTCAGTCTGATTTTTTATTATATATTATATAATGCTTCCCTGCTGCTCAGTGGTAAAGAATCTGCCTGCAATGCAGGAGACACATACACGAGACGAGGGTTCAATCCCTGGGTCAGGAAGATCCCCTGGAAGAGGAAACGGCAACCCATTCCAGTATTCTTGCCAGGAGAATCCCAAGGACAGAGGAGCCTGGCGGGTTACAGTCCATGGGGTTCCAAAAGGGCAGGACATGACTTAGCATCTAAACAACAACATAAACTATATATAATAAATTATATTTATATAATAAATACACATATATAAAAGATACATTATATATGTATGTATAGTTTTGAAAATTTAAATACTTTAAAATTTAGATTCATAATGAGAAAGAATGGCATTTTGACAGGAAAATGTGAGTTCAGAGAACCCTTGTCTTACAGGCACAGAGGCATAAATGCCAGTGGAATGTAAGGGAAAACTCTTGAAGCATGTGGTGGGAGGCTGTGAGTAATGGGGAGATGAGGTTGGAGAGTTAGGACACTGTATCCTGAACCAGGGCACTTGGCCTTCACCTTCTGTTGAGAATGACCCCCTAATATAGTAAGTGATGAGGTCTGCTGGCTCTGGATTTGGACAAACCTGGGTCTGAAGTCCAGCTCCCTCATATACCAAATTTCTTAGCCTCTTTCTAAGGACTTCCCTATCCAAAAAATGGAGACAAGAGTAGTTCCAACCATGCACATGGTAGGCATTCAACAGTATTGGTTATTATCCACTCATACTCTTCCTTCCTAATTATCATAAATCTCTAAGATTCTTTTTGCTTTTCCTATTAAAGTAGAACGAAGTCTCCCCAATCTCGAAGAACTGACAACATAATCCCATTGACTTTCTTTGATCATGCTTTTAATGTCTTTCTTTCAAGGCCAACTTCTTGGTTCAGGGGTGTAACACTCACTACTGCCATTTCTTCACCTTTCTCATGAGTAGAACTCCATGACAACTCCTGAGCAGTGATATAAATGCTATAAAATGTGGGGATAAATATCTTTTCCACAGGGGATATTTCCAGTTTTGGCCAGCCACACACGTTTCTCCATCGTTTTTGGTGAGAGCACACTAGTTTTCTCTTGTGGAATCCACGCCTCCTCTATTCCCTCTCTGCACGGTTCATGTGAGACTGTTATGCTACCCTTCCCAATCCCCATGCTCCCCCAGTGCTCCAGAAATGGGGACAGCCTTGGCCAATGAGGGAACCTCTTCCCTGGTGACCTTGACAGGTTCAGGCATGAACATGTGACCCATATCTGGCAAATGAGAGTCAGATTTAGGGTGTTTAGTGGAGCCACTAAGAAAGAGCTTTCTTTCTGCCGGGGATGCCAAGCCCAGGCTCGCTGATGACAATCCTTGGTACAAGAAAAGCCTTCTAAAGTATGAAGTAACTAGACAGAAGGCAAAGCAGGGTCTTACTGTGGAAAGTCAAAAAGAGAAAGCTCTCAATGAACAATTACACGGTCGATGCATCTGGGAGCAGCTGCTTTTCAGTTAGGTGAGCCAATAAATTTCTTACCAGCTGGCTTTCTGAAACTCGCCACCAGTTAAGTTCTCAGTAAAAATTCTCATACCCAAATTGGCCCTGAAGCAGCCCCTGTATACTAACATGTGTTTAGAAAGATGTTTTTACATTTTCATGAAAATGAAAAGAAAATAATGTATGTGGAAATGTTTAGTTTTAAAAGGCATTAAAATATACAGTACAGCTTAGTGGTTTTCTTTAAAGATAATGTTAAAAGAAATAAAAATTTAGCATTTAATAAAATAGGTATCCATTACTCAGGAAATTAAGTGAAATGTTTTCTTTTTTAATGATGCTAATTAAATGAAATACTACACTTAAAGGACCTTAATTTCTCTTATAATATTTATTTATTTATTTGGCTGCTCCAGGTCTTAGCCATGGCACTCGGGAATTTTGATCTTTAGCTGCGGGCATGCAAACTCTTAGTTGTGGCATGTGGGATCTAGTTCCCAGACCAGGGATGGAACCCAGGCCCTCTGCATTGGGAGGGTGGAGCCTTAGCCACTGGATCACCAGGGAAGTCCCCCTAACTGTGTGTTTTTTTTTTTTAATTGTGTTCATGGAAGCCTTTAAAAGTCTGTGGGCCCAGTGAAGTTTCAAAAGAGCTATTTAGAACTCATCTGAGATGCTGGGTGTCTGAAATGGAAAAAGTTTAAAGTGAGGAAATATGGGGAAACAAGATGGCTTCTCAGGCTTCCCAACTGGCTCAGTGGCAAAGAATCCACCTGCCAATACAGGAGCCTCAAGAGACATGGGTTTGATCCCCGGGTTGGGAAGATTCCCTGGAGAAGGAAATGGCAACTTAATCCAGTATTCTTGCCTGGAAAATCCCACTGACAGAGGAGCTTGGCAGGCTACAGTCCATGGGATCACAAAGAGTCAGACACGACTGAAGTGACTGAGCACGCACATATGCAGACAGGTTCTAAGTAACTCAAAGTCGCTCATAGTTTGATGGAATGAGAAAAGTTGGGAAGGCCTTTAGAAATTACCTTGTCTGATCTCTTTCATATTTAAATAAGAAAGTTAAAGCCTAGAGAAGCTAAATAATTTTCGTTAATGAATACAGCTAATATCTACCAAACTCCATAGAAAAGTGATAAAAATCTGTGAAATGAGATAGTTCTTTAATCTGTATCTCTGACTTTATGTCACTTCTACCAAATCACTGCATTATTTTACTCATATATACCCACTGTTTATTATAAGTTTGAAAACACATTTTACAAGCAAATAAAAATATCTAAACGTTCTATTATATTATGTTCAGCTTTACTTTTCTCCAATGTTATAAATGTTACAAACAAATTTTTTAAAAACAAAATTTCTTACTAATCCATTTAAATTGCACACCATTGGTAACAAAATAAATAAGAACTTTTATTTTATTCTCTTGACAAATATTGTTTATATATTTTGAATGATCAGTTAATGGGCAGGTGATAACTTGCCCTTAAATATGACTTAATATTTTAAGAATTAAGGAACTTCCATTTAAAAAAATCCAGTTCAAATGAGATACTTTGAGAGATTTTTGTATATCACAGAATCACAATGAAACTAGAAAGGCAAGGTACACTTTAGATAAATACTAAAAGATCCCACACACAGAAAAAGAAGTTTTTTCCTGTTTCTCAATCAGGCTTTTGCTTTATTCAGACTGATACACAATCTGTACACCATACAAGAAAAACACACATTTTTCATCAAATGGTAAAATTTTATAAATTTCATAAATTCAGTAAAAAATGTTAATCAAATTTTTCTGTCTCAAATACAGATTTCAGTAGAAGAATGAGGCATGACCCAAGTCCAAGGT